AGTGCAGAAACCAAATTCGGCACACGCGTCATGTTTTTAGTAAAGCGGGCTGACCTGCTGCTGTCTTGGTTGTGCTGTGCAGTGAGATGATGGACGACCAGCTGACGGAAATCGGCCACGACCTCTTCTACAACTCGTACTTTGTGAGTCGTCGCACCAACCACCACACTCAACCCCCCTGCCTGCCAAGTGGTGCCACCTTGCTGTTGCTTGGATGATAGCAGCATCAGCGTGGAACTTGTTGTCTGTCCTCTTTCACACCCTCACTGAGTCACACCCTGACACACACACACACGCACACACACACACACATACACACACACACACACACACACACACACACACACACACACACACGCTCACACACACACACCAACAGCACATTGACCTCGAGTCTGACGATTCAGTGGAGCAGTTGTATTTCCTCAAGTGGCAGCTCAAGTTCACTCGCAGGAAGTGCGTGTGCACGCGTGGTTTGGGTGGCGCTGCTGTTGACACGAGTGCCTGGCCAACGGTGACAGGAGTGCAAAGTGGCTGGAGCGGAAGGGCAAGGCGCGTGTTTGGTTTTGCGTGCAGGTGACAATTCTTTTTGTGGTTGTGGATCATGGCTCACGCTTGTGATGCGCTCGGTGGTGCCTGTACACTGCTGTGCTGTTCTGTGCGCGCGTCCAGGACGCCCTTGTTCAAGAAGAAGCTGATCCACACGCTGACGCACGGCATCACCCGCGTCACCGTCCAGCACTGCGAGGTCGGGCGCCGCACACGTGCTGCTTACGTGTGCAGCTTTTAATTGGATTGCAGTTGCACCCCGCGGCAGCTGCAGCTGTTTGTGTTGGCTTTCGGTGTGGCTCGTCTTTCCTTTGACGTTTTATCATCCTGACTCACTTACATGCATATGTATGTGTGCGTGTGTGTGCATGTTTCTTGCATCTTGGCTGTGCAGTTCCTGGGCTCTTTGATTGGACATGTGCTAGACTTGGACGGCACGCTCAATGACAAGAAGCGCCTCGAGGAGATGTGCAAGAACGCACCCAAGGATGTCCCAGAGACCCTCATGTGCGTGCGTGCGTGCGTGCGAGTTGTGCGTGTATACGAGTTGTGTTCGACTGTGTGTCATGCATGTTGGTTCTGTTCATTCATTCGTTCATTCATTCATGTATTTCGTGTTGGCGCTTTTGTGCACCTTCACCCAACACTCACCAATCGACTCACCCTCATCATCCCCCACCACGCCACAGGAAAATCTACCGGAAGTACATGACTGATCTTGGTCGCCCGCTGTCGCCTCCCCCAGATGTCAATCTCCTGGCAGCGTACGACTGAGCTTGCGTTGTTGCACTCGCACTGCGCGTTGCTGGCCTGCACAAGTCTTTGTCTGTCTGTCGTGTCGTCGCATAGTGGTGGATAATTGTGAATGGTGCACATAAATGTCAAGTGACAAACCAACGACAGAGCGACAGACAAAGCGATTGTAGACGATGATGATGTTGCGCGCTGCGAGTGTTGTTGGAGGCAGAGGCACTGCCACCGCCACTGCCACTGCTGCTGCTGCTGTCGGTGGTGGTGTGCTTGGACGGCGTGGGCTCTTGTTGGGCAGGAGAGGGTTGAGCACGGCCAATGAGGAGGATGCCGCAAAGGCAGTGACGGTTGAGGTTGACGGTGATGGCTTTGCGTCCATGGTTCTCAACAACCCAGACGGCTTCAACACCTTCTCCGACAAGGTGTGTGATTGTGGTGTGATTGTGTGTGATTGTGTGTGATTGTGTGACAGTGGTGTGATTGTGATTGTGTGATAGTGGTGTGATTGTGTGTGTAATTGTGTGGGGGTGTGTTTGCACACAAACCCGACTCTTTGTATGTGTGAGGATATGCGACACATATAATCAAACGAACACCTTTGCCTGCTGATCACACTGTTTACATGTCACGCCACTTCAGGTCATTGCCCGCTACACCGATGTGCTGACTGAGCTGCACAAGACAGAGAACCTGCGCGGCGTGTTTGTCAAGTCCACCGGCAAGTTCTTCTCTGCCGGCGGCAACCTCAAATGGATGAAGAACTCCATCAACCTGACACGGGTGCGCTCCTTGTTGTTTTGGGCAGGGCGGGGGGGGGGGGAGGTTTGTTGTTGGAGTTGATGAATGATATGCTGTCCTTGCGTCACCAACTATGCCCGTGCTTTGAAGCGCAGTGACCACGCCCTTTGTCTCGCATGGGTGTGTTTGGTCATCCTTCTCAACTCACGCGTTGTCCGCACACACACACACACACACACACACTTGCGTCAATGCGTTAGGAGGAGAACGTTGAGGACTCGCTGAAGCTGTCGCGGATGCTGTACCAGCTCAACACGCTCCCTTGTCCCTCAATCGCGCTTGTGCAAGGTCCCGCGTTTGGGGGCGGTGTTGGTCTTGTGAGCTGCTGCGACATTGCCGTTTGCGTAAGTGCGCATCGCTTCTGTGCCCCATAAGCTTGCATGCGTGCTCGTGGGCTCAGTGTGGGACTGAGGTCGTGTGTTTTGCTGCTGTTGGTGGTGATGCTGGTGCTGGTGATGCTCTATGCTTGGGTGCTGGAGCTGTCTCGCAATGACCAATCATGTTTGTCGTTGACACTCGCCCACCGCTACTCTTCTCAACACGCGTCATGTTGCACACACACACACACACACACACACACACACACACACACACACACACACACACACACACCATGCACCAGACGAGCAAGGCGTTCTTCACGCTTTCAGAGGTGAAGCTGGGTTTGATTCCCGCCACAATCTCTCCTTATGTCATCGCCCGCATTGGCATCCCGCAAGCGCGCAGGTGCGTGTCAGTGTGTGTATGTGTGTGTGTGTGCCAGTGGAGGTGTGTATGCATGTTTGTATGTGTGTATGTGCGTGTGTGCGTACATGAGCGTGAGTACAAGTAGCCGGCTGCCCTCGCACCTTCCGTGTTTGCCTCCGTGTGTCTCACAGCGCGTGCCTGTGTCACCGACAGGTACATGTTGACTGCAGAGAACATCAACGCCGCCCGCGCGCAGGAGATTGGACTGGTGCACGAGGTACGGAAAAGTGTGTACGGGGTGATGGGAAGATCAATGAGTGTGGTAAGGCATTGTGGAGGGTGTGCATGTGGGCAAAAGCAGAAATCCAGCACTGCGGTTTTGACACACACACACACACAGACACAGACACACAGACACAGAGACACACACAGACACAGAGACACACACGCGCGCGCGCGTCTTCCATTCAATCAGTCTCACAACTCCACTGGTGCAGGTTGTTGAGGATGCATCTGGGCTTGAGGAGTGGGAGGGCAAGTTGCGGGAGTCGCTGTCACGCGTTGGCCCCAACGCCGCCGCCAACACAAAGCGCCTCATCGCAGACGTCGGCAACAGGCACATCACCGATGGTGAGAGACAGAGTGTGTATGTGTGAGTGTGTGAGTGAGTCAGAGAGAGAGTGTGTGTGTTGTGTTGTGTGTGTGTGTGTGTGCCAGGTTGCGTGCGATTTTATTTCTGCTCTGTTCGTCGTTCCCGCTCGCATTTCCTAACGTCGTTGCTGCTTTTGCCACCATCAACACGATCATCATCGCCGTGAACAGATGTGCTGCAGCTGACAGCGGAGGCGTTGGCGGACCAGCGGGCGAGCGAGGAAGGGCAGAGCGGCCTGCACGCCTTCTTTGCAAAGCAGCCCGCCCCGTGGCTCATCAGCAAGTGAGCTTTGCTGGTACCGGGCGGATATTTGTGTGAGTTGTTGTTGTGTGTGTGTGTTTGTGTGTGTGTGTGTGTGTGTGTGTGTGTGTTGTGTGCTACACCAAGAATCGGAGTAATCAAAGTACATACCAGGATACTTGCCTTCTAAAAAAGACTAATCCTATTTTAGTTAAGTCCTCCTGCCGGAGTTAAGAAGTTGCGCCTTCAAAGCAATCGCGAACACAACGTAACTGGGCTGGAATAAGCGATTACTCCAGTTTTAGCTATGGCGTAGTTAGTTCTAACCATAAGAAACTAAGTCAGGTCCTTAGATTCGGACGTATTGTTGTGAGTGTTGTTGTGTGTGTGTGTTGTGTGTGTGTGTGTGTGTGTGTGTGTGTGTTTGTGTGCATGTGTGTGTGTGTGTGTGTGCGCGCTGCCCACGTGTCGTCCTTTGGTACAAACGAACGAACATGCGTGTGAATGCTTGATGTGAATGAGTGAATGAATGCAAGTGGGAAGACAGGGAACGTGGACAGCTGTGCCATCACGCACACAGAGTTGCAGACACATACACACAGACAAGTGCAGACAGACACACACACACACACACACACACACACACACACAAGCACACCACAACACACCACATCACAACACAACACAACACAAACACAACACACCACAACACACCACATCACAACACACACGCACACAACACAACACAAACACAACACAAACAATAAACCCAAGCACGCACACGTCATTTGCCGCAACAAGCAACCATCCCAGGTAGTGCCACAGTCGCAATCGAGCCCCCCAAAGTGCCTCGTCACGGTGCGTTTTGTGTTTTATTCGCCACTATCAACCTGCAAATCCCCACGCGATTGCTGCAATCCATTTCTTCCTCTTCTTCTTATCAAATCATCAGCCGTTGCGTTGTGCGTTGTGTGTGCGTGTGCGTGTGTGCGTGTGCGTGTGCTTGGCCATTTTCCTGTCAACTTCCTCGCTCGCCTGGACGCCTTTGACTTCCTCAGGCAGTCTCGTCTCTTGCGCGTGCGACCGCTCATCTGTGCTGAACGAACCATCCCTGACGCCGATTGATCGGTCGACACCCCCCCCCCCCCATATTCCCTCAAAAAGCCAAGCGAACCCCTCTCCATCTCCCCATCTCCCCATCTCCCCATCTCTCTGTCTTCCAAGCGGAACAATGACCGACAACGTTGATGCGGCCGTGCATCCGTGGATGCTTGGCGTCGTCGAGGGCTTTTACGGTCGTCCGTGGCAGATGCACCAACGATCTGAGCTCTTCACGCTTCTCAACCATTGGGGCATGAACGCCTATGTGTATGCTCCAAAGGACGATCACAAGCACCGTGCCTTCTGGCGCCAGCTCTACACCGACGACGAGCTCGGTCCGTGTGTTGTAGACTGTTGTCCCCTTGTCTTTGCGCATACGTGTGCTGTTGATCTGTCTGTCACCAAACGTCTTTGTGAAGCCACGAAGTTGTTTGTTGTTTGGGGCTTGTCCACGGATCCGCACGCAAGTTACTTTGTAACTTTGTCGACAACGTTTTCCGAGCTCACATCATGCATTGCGCCACCACCACATGCAGCACGCCTGAGCGAGTTGATCGCAGAGGCGCGCAGGAACAACGTGGAGTTCATCTACGCCATCTCCCCTGGTCTCAGCATGGTCTACTCATCGGATACAGAGAACAAACTCCTCCACGTAAGCAACTTCGTTGACACGTCTTTTTCTTGTGTCATTGTTGATGTGTCGTCTTCCTTCTGGTGTTCATGCATTCATGTGCAAGTACGCGCTCTCACGCCAGCACACACGCACGCACACACACACTCACACACACACACACACACACACACACACACACACACACACAACAGGACAAGCTGAGCCAGGTGCATGAGCTCGGATGCACGAGCTTTGCCATCCTTTTTGACGACATCGACAAGGGCATGTGCACGGAGGACCACGAGGCGTTTGAGTCGCTCGCACACGCGCACTGCGAGGTTGCCAACCGCATTCTGTCGTACATTGGACCGCGCCGCCTCCTTTTCTGCCCGACCGAGTACTGCACGTCCCGCGCAGATCCGAGCATCAAGGACAGCGCGTACCTGTCCACCGTCGGGCACGTGCTCGACCCGGCCATCCAGGTGCTGTGGACCGGCGATGCCGTCATCCCAGAGTACATCACGCCAGAGTCGCTTGCCCCCGTCAACGCCGCCATCCGCCGCAAGTGCGTCATCTGGGACAACATTCACGCCAACGACTACGACCCGCGGCGCGTGTATCTTGGGCCATATGCGGGGAGGCCGCACCAGCTGCGCGAGCACGTGGACGGCGTCCTCACCAACCCAAACTGCGAGTACACGTCAAACTTTGTTGCGCTGCACACCATGGCTGCGTGGCACAACCTCGGCCCCGCATACGACCCGCGCGTTGCGTACCGCCAGGCCATTACGGACTGGCTGCCGCGCCTTGTGTCGCGCGGGCAGCAGGCGGCCATCACGGCGGAGGCGATGGTGCGGCTGTGCGACATGTTCTATCTTCCTTACCAGCACGGTTCAGCTGCATCCACTTTTATTGCAAACTTCCTCTGGCTCGAAGACACCCCGACTACCGGTGTGTAGTAGTGCTTGTTCGTGCATGTGCCTGCGCGCGTGTGACATGTGTGTGTGTGTGTGTGACATGTGTGCGTGTCGTGCATGGGTGTGCGTGTGTGACGTGTGTGTATTTGCTGAATTGCTTCATGGTGTTCCCACGCGTTCGTATCTTTATCCCACGCGTTCGTATCTTTATCCCACGCGTTCGTATCTTTATCCCATCCACTCTCTTTGGCTCACGCGTACCGTGTCTCATGATCTCTGTGTGTCATTGCTGTGCAGACGAGGAGTGGAGTGACCGGTGCAACACGTTCAGAGAAGAGTGCACCCACCTGGTCAAGCTCTGCAAGACGGTGTGCGCGCTCTCCTGTGACCTCGCGCGCGACCTCTACCGCTACCTCTGGGACCTGCAGGAGGTGCGTAACAAGCCGTGCATGCGTATTTTGTGTGTGTGTGTGTGTGTGTGTGTGTGTGTGTGTGTGTGTGTGTGTGTGTGTGTGTGTGTGTGTGTGTGTGTGTGTTGCTTCCGATGTGATCTCGTGATTACGCGAACGAGTTTGAGCCAATCAGGCACGTCCTCACTGTCACCATCACATGCACATGTGTCCACCCACCCACCACCGAACGCGTGTAGATGCTGTCGATGTTGTGCGGGGTGCTTGATCGCCTATCGTCGCCGATTGCCTTCCGGCCAACCCGCACTGCCCGACCGTCCCTCGCCCCGTCCCTTGCCTTTGGCGGCATGCTCGCCACCTTGCACCAGCTGGTGCTGCCGTACGGCGCGGAGCACGGCACGTCCATCTGCACGAGCCACCGCATCTACGCCATGCGGCCGTGCTTCGAGTCCGACCGCGACTACCTCTACGACCTCTGCATCAAGGCGGGCAGGGCCGGCGCCGACCGTGAGTCAAACTTGCGCGCATCCGTGTGTGTGTGTGTGTGTGTGTGTGTGTGTGTATGTGGGCATGTGTGTGTGTGTGTGCACGCGCCGTGTCTCTGCACACTCTTTCCTCACACGAACTCCTCCCACCCCACCCTTTCTATCTTTCTCTTTCAGCACAAAAAGTGTACGAGTGCCCAACGATTCTGGGCGACCGCTGGGTGGGGCCCTACCTCTCTCTTCCCGGCTGCCTCGCTTACGTGCTCGAGGTCAGTCACGCCCCCTGTACACGTGTTGTTGCGTATGTGTATGTGTATGTGTATGCGTATGTGTGTGTGCATGGTTGATCAGGTCATGCACATGTATTGTTTGTGTTGTTGGTCCTTCCCACGCCGATGCGTATCGTCAGAGCCATGCCGCACCCCTCCATATCCCTCTCCCCTCCCCTCTTCTAACTCCACCACGACCACCACCTCTGTCGCCACCACAGGACAACCAGGGCGTGTGCGGGTATGTGCTTGCTGCCATTGACTCGCGCGCCTTCTACCGGGACCTGCAGTCGCTGTATCTGCCGAGCGTTGCCGGCAAGTACACGCCGCCGGCGGAGCCGCGCAGCAACTGGAAGCCCGTCGACCACCTCCTCCACGAGCTCCTCAACCCCACATTCTACATCGACGAAGACATCATGAAGTCAGTTGCACGGCTGCACTTGCACGTGTGTGTGTGTGTTTGTGTGTGTGCATGCATGCGTGCGTGCGTGCGTGTGTGTGTGTGTGTGTGTGTGTGTGTGTGTGTGTGTGTGTGTGTTGTGGTGTCATGTGCGCGCTGCATCTTATCTGACCAAAATACCATTGTCTCACCCTTGATCACTCCTCCTCCCCTCCTCACATCTTCTCCTCCCAGGTCGTACCCGTCGCATCTGCACATTGATCTCCTGCCGCGTGCACAGAATCAGGGCAACGGGCGCCGTCTCATCAACCTCCTCCTCCGCAACCTCCAGGCGTGTGGCTCCGTCGGTGTCCACCTCGAAGTCCCCGCTGAAAGTGCGGGCGCACACCGCTTCTACGAGCGGCTCGGCTTCTCCCCCCTCAGCGTCAACATGGCGAACAAGGTGTACTTTGGCAAGACGTGGGCGTCGTCGGCGCCGGAATCGCAGCCAGACGCGCAGCTGTCGTCGCACACGGCCATGTTGCCAACGGGCGCCACCGCCACTTGCTCCGTCGTGCCAGCGACCACCACATGATGAACAATGCACCGTGCATGGTGCGGCGTGCGTCATGGCGTGTGACGATTGACACATGACATGACTCCGACGTCGTGGTCACCGGTCACCTTGTGTGCGCCTTTCTCTCCTTTTCCCACCTCATTCAGTGTGTCTCTCTCTGTGTCGTCCCTTTCCTTCTCCTCCTCTCACTTCCTTCCTTTCCTGGTCATTCTTAGCCTGTCTCAATCCGCAATGTAATTATGCGGTGATTGTTTCACACACACACACCTCCCCCTTCTCCAATCCAACCCCTCTTCACGTGATGTCACCAACCAACAGAGGGGTGTCGTGTTTGTGTGGTTTGCTGAATTGCCATGTTTGCTGGTGGCACAGTGGTTGTGTTTGCCAATGGCTTGTTTTGATGATGTGTATTGTGCGCGGTTCACGAGCCCTATTTCAGAGGTTACAATGACCCACTGCTTCAATTGTGTATTTGCACGTACACAGCACCTTAGCTTCTTCTATTGCGCCGCCTTCTGCTGCCGTTAAATGCGAGCGGCGTTCACATCTTAATCTGCATTCGCCCTAACTGCCGCCACCTGCTTTCCATGTTGTTGTTGTTGCCGTTCTCTGTCCTTTTCCTTAAACACGGCACCCTTTCTCCCCACACACGTCTCTTCATGCGATTGGGATGAGGGTTATCACCAACCTCCCTCCCTCCCTCCCATCTTTCCCCACACCCCACATCCTAGTTTCTCCCCTGCTGTGTGCTGTTGACCTGGTTATCGTGCAAACCACGCGCTGAGCGCAAGGAATACAGCGTAAGCAGCGACAGCAATGGCAAAACCGTGTTGGCGCAGCAGCCGCAACACCTTGACCTTTAGCGTGGCTTGCTCGTGCTTGTGTCTGCCGTGAGGGGGTGGGGGGGGGGGGGTAAAGAGGGTTGGCAGTAAGGTATGCGTGTGTGTGTGTGTGTGTGTGTGTGTGTGTGTGTGTGTGTGTGTGTGTGTGTGTGTGTGTGTGTGTGTGTGTGTGTGTGTGTGTGTGTGTGTGTGTGTG